TAGGCGGCGTCCATGCGTGGGTTCGAATCCCACCGAGGCTACTGAACTTTTCACAATCGACATACAAAAAGGTTTTTGTCGTTATTGATGAGAATCAAGTTATATGATGGACATGAAATTGAAATTTTGGATATTATATCATTCCGTTACTGCCACTTATCAGATGTCATTCATCAACGTGAATATCCCGATCGAACCATCCACTGCTGTCCTGTGGAATAACCATTCTGATTATCTTAGTTCTGTGCTGACACAATCTGAAGCAAAACTGAATAGTTGAGGAACTGATTCTCTGTGTGACGATCCACTTTGAATGTAACATATATCCATTTTTAAATTATGACAAAAACTGTAAAGATCTGGTACGCAGGTGTGGGAGACAGTTTGATGCACTTGTGAAAATGACAATAAAATCCAGAGACAAGGTGGGGGCACCAACATAAGCGCTCGTTAAAACTGTAAATTAATAAACCTAGGGACAAAAATTGGCTTTCACGACTGTGTGAAGTTGAAGCGTTTGAATTAATTAACTTTCAGACAGTCTGAAATCAATAGTTGCAGTGCATTTGGAAATTACATCATAGTGTCTGAGGGATCACACAAAATGCGGTTTTGATTTTGCTCGACCGTATGGATAGGAAGGTAAATTCGAAGCTATCTGGGGAAATTCAGCGAATTTTCTCTGAGGAGCGTCGCCATAGATTGCTTTTAGGACCAACATCCGCTTTTATTGGAGCAGTGGGGAATTAATCGAGACAGTGCGTGATATGTTACGGTTCACCATTGCATGCAAATTGTGCTGTAGACTTAGAAACCCGCAAACTCAGTCACCATTCACGTTACTGTTTGGCAGATTGAAGTCTTATGTTGAGAGTGTGAAAAGTTCAGTGCTATTGGGTTGACCTCGTAGCTCAAATGGTAGGGCGTGCGCTGTAAAAAAGGCGTAGGTGGCGTCCATGCGGGGGTTCGAATCCAACTGAGGCTACCGAGCTTTTCACAATCTCAACATAAAACTCAGTCCTCATCGGAAAAAAACCAACATTATCATGAATAAATTCTTATATGAAAGCTTTGTAGCATAAATTCAAGGGCACAGTTGCAGAGTGAAAAGAAAAACATTACTCACGTGCTATAAAATAACTGAAAATTTTCTATCCACAACGTTAAAATAATAATCTTTTCATGTGACGGTATATTCACCAGGTGGCTCATTAGTCGGCTAATAGCGCGCTAATAGCCAACCATAATGAGCTACATTACAGAACATCTCGTTTTTAGTTTTCCGCCTTGTCCCGTCTCTAACCCCTCCCCCCCCCCATTAAGCCCATATTTTCACATGTATTTAATATCTCACCATGGACTTCAGCACATTTTTTGCACTGATTAGAACGCACTTAATTGATTAATTTAACAGGTCTGCATTATGTAACGTGCTATTCTACACAACTTCAAACACGCTTCTACCGTATTCAGATGCATTCATGCACACATTTCGAGTAAAATAGAAGGCCATTTAAATAATGAATGATTTTATAAAAATAAAAAAATATTTTACATTTTTAATCTGGTGTATTTGTTTATTTTGTACGGAATAAAATATCCAACGAGATATGGATGACATTTTACGACCGTAAAATACTAAAACAAATTATATGATTACCCGAATTTCTTACGACAGTGAAAACATATAACGATAACAAATCAATAAATATATCGCAAAATACACGTACTATCACAACAACAGGTAACGACAAAATTGGACAGTCGCTGCAATTATCACTTCCCGCCAGAAATTCAAACAAAATTTGCGGAATTAGGGCAAAAATGAGTTATTCGATGGAATTAAATATCAAAATGAGTCTTCAAATCGAAAAGGGTTGTGATAAATGCGTTTTAAAGGTTAATTTCCATTGAATAACAAATGTAGTTGATGTAGCTCATACGTAGCCGATCGATGTGATACATTATGCTACCTGGTTCATACGTTATTTTGTTGGACAATATACAGTGGTATGCCCCAAGTAAGCTTCATTAGCTTTGAAATGAAAATGCATTCCTTCATTCGCTCTCAAACCAGTGAGATCATGACGAATTTCATTTTGGAATTGACTTAGTTGCCGCCCAAAAAACCTGAACAAAACGTCATTGAAAATCTGTTAACTATGCTCAAGGAACGGGGAGTGTGATCATATACAATCGTCTTTATGCTCATATGCGTCACAAGAATTCACATAGCCCTCGTTTATATCTCAAACTTATTGACTTCAATGCCTAGGATCGCGGTTAACGAGAACAAGCAATAAGGAGGATAGGTGGATTAGCGACTTGCGCGCAGTTCGTTAAAAGCTCATTATGCCACCATTTGCCTACAGCTTTAGAGCTAATATGCCTGACTGCAACAATGTTAACTGCTGACTGACTGCTAGGAAAACCCTAATTGCCTGTCCATATGTGGTACACAGAGGCACAATCATAACAACCACTATGAGCTTACATCATCGTTTATTTTGAGCATTAAACAATGAAACGATCCTTCAGTAGCAAACAGTATAACATAGACGCAATATCAATGGCAATGCACAAAGGTTATTTCTGCTTGGAAGTCTGGACGATGTTGTCAACCAGTGATGATACAGTGGAGTTTGAAATACGATGCAAAAAATGTTGTAGATGGCTATTATACGTACATAAGACTACTAAACGCCAAAATGGGAACAATACGTCTCTTCCGGATCACGATCCAGTCACGTGCACTTGATTGCAACCCAGTGGTTGTTGGAAACAACCAGACAAGTAGGACAAACTAAACATCATCAAGATGATTGGAAACACGAAAGTTGTTGATAAGGAGAAAATCGCTTTGCAATAAAACTTGCCATTCAAATGTAGAGCTTAAGGTATGATTGACAGAGCTCCGCCGTGACTGGACAGTTAACTGCAGAATAACAAACCTCGTTTATCTGTCTGTTTCGCTAGCCAAACCTGCGGCAATCTGGGTTCCTCAGCCTCGAGAATATCAAGTGGCATTCTACGCCGGTTTATCCCGCAGCCTCGAAACTCGTCCTACTCCGAAAGAATGCCCACTCATCTTTGACACGGTGCTGTTAAATCTGGGTTCCGGATACAACAGCACCACCGGTCAATTTACTGCCCCTGCCTCGGGTGTTTACGTCTTTGTATTGGTTGTTTCCGCACAGAGCTACGAAAAGGTGAGTTACTTGCAAAAATGTTGTACACTTAGAAAAATATACGTTTGACAGATAAGATAAATAATACTCAAGTTTGACGCAGTACGCGTGAGATCTGAATGCATAGATTGATTTTTTAAAGTTGCAAAAACCGTCAGATGTATCTGGATGACTGAGTTTGTTTAGTTAACTAAGGTTTAACCTGTATTATATTTATTTCTTACATAACTATTTTTCTGCTGCTTTTCTTTTCTCACTCTTATTGCCGATTTTAATTTGTATGAGAATTGAAACGGAAAGGAATTTTCGGGCTGTACGATAACAAAAGATTGTACAAGATTATTCCAACGCCGATCAAAGTTCTTTAACTAATCGAATTTGCAGTCGTCGCGCTCTAGGCAATCACCAGTAGTTCTCTTGTTCTGAGACGATACTGACTGTGCTTAAACCCAAAACTCACATCATATCGTGCGATTTCTCGTAGACAAACAAAAATATCTGTGTGGGAGGAGGCGGGAAAGTTGGGAGGTTTGGGACAGAGGGAAAAACGGGCGAATGGTATGTTCCTTCGAATCTATCTAACTATCGAACACTCGTTCATCACTCTAGACCATAGTCGGACAAGTGTCATGCAACGGGGTGATGGTGAAGGGTTGATTATACACCAACTCAACCAAAAACGGAAGAGTAAACTCCAAGATAGGTACAGTAAAAATGGGGGGGCTAACTGTGACCCCGTCTGTGATTCAGGTGCCCCATTGAAGTTTTACTCAATAAGCGAGGGAACGGAGGGTCAACTCGTGGTTTTCTATCCTGACTCTTGCCCCGCAAGATGGATGGGGCTCGCGTGTCTTAAGTCCATTGGTCCCGAAAGCAAGTTCGCCAATCTATATCCTCACTCGTTCACCGATTTGTTCCCATTGGTTTTTGTCCACGTGCGGCGCTCTGATAGCGATTTTTATCGCAGAGCTATAAATTTGCTTTCTGCAGTATGCACGGCTCACACCCTCCCCATTGGAATTCGACTCAAATCTCTAAATCTATCCTGTCCGACCCCTCACGCACGCACGCACACAAGCAAACACACACACATCTCCCTGTTCCGCATCCACTGTCCTTAAATGAACAAAGAGAAGAACGGTTATAAGCACAACTGACACATCCTGAACGCGGCCGTCGCCATCTGCTTCTATGTCCAACCGAACTTTAGTTGTTGTCTCTTTGGTGAGTGTGTGTGGGTGTGTAAAATCAACGAATTGTGGGGGGTGGGGTGGAACACGCTTCGAAATGCGATAAAAACAAAGATCATTCAGTGTCGCCTTCAAGAGTAAAACGCAAAATATTTTATGCATTAAAGAAGAAACGCACAATTCATACACAGATTAAATCCGGGGAGACAAATCATAGTGGAAGATTTTTTCTTGTAAACACGTATTTTCTCTGAGTATGAGTACACAGACACATACAGACAGGCAGACATAGTCGCACTACCGCAACGTACAATGAACGGGTGAACTGATGAATCTATCGATTGCGTGTCACTTACACTCTCTGGCCCGACCAGCGTGAAGGGATGTGGAGGAAATGAGACTACAAAACGACTGTTGCTTTGGTAAAAACCCAGTTCGTGTCATACAGACTACAGAAGACAGTGATTTCGAACAGTGGGGTGAATGGTCTGGTTCGCTGGAACTTCGCTGTCCAAGGACATTTACAAAGCGACAAAGACAGCAAAAGCGGCTCGAGAACAGATGTTCTTTTCTCGTTGTGGAAATGATGTCGTTTTCGACTGCATTGTTTCGATGATTTTTTTCCTTCGGGATTATTCACCAGAACAAACTGAATTACAAATGATAGAGACGAGTACACTCAGCCTAAAGTGTGCGCGGAGAACATCGAACTAGCTCGGGGTAAAAAAAAGGGTTTTCACACTCAGAAAAAAACTATTTTTCATGTATATAAATATGCTTATTATAAAATAAATAAGGAAAGGATTTATGTGGATGACAGCTTTCAGTGCAAACAAAGTACAAACGTCGCCTTATGACAAATTTATGCGGTCAAGAAGCATTTCGGGCAAAGTTTCAACGAAAGGTTCAGTGCTTAATCTGAACGGCGAGTCTATGTAGGTAATCAGAAACATGGCTTCCCGGTAAACTTTTCTCGGTGAAAACGAAAGCATCGTGCTTCTCACGAAACTCGAAAAAAGCATTAGTGTGCGGCACTATCAGTAAGCTCAAAGTCACACCATCTTACCTTTTTCAGAGCATGGTGTCTTCTGCGAGAATGATAACTTCGTTCAAAGTCATAATCTTAGATGATTGGTTTATTGCTAAGATCCAGTGAATTATCGTACGTCTATTTCTCAGAAACCGAACAACCTATGACAGCAGGCCTAGTGGAAAGGAAGTTAGACTACAACGTTGTCAGGGGGCCGGTCATCTCATTTTCCTCCTAATGGATTAAATCACCGCTTGCCTAGCATGTTCACTCTTGGTCTTTTGAACTCGGCAGAAGTAGACGAAGTTTAATTTAGTACATTCTGTTGGTCTACGGCGTGCTGTGTAATAGATAACATGTGAACACCGATGAAGTCTTTGTTTGATTTGTGAAATTTGGGTTCATCACACAGTGTCAGCGAGTCATAAACCACTGAGAATTCAATGGAAAATTATATTGTTCTTTCCGGTTGTTGTTGTTGTTGCTGCTGCTGTTTAAGACTCATCACCATTGCATATTCAGAATAACCAGTGGAGAAACCTCAGAGCATAGATTACTTTCATTAATCGATTTTGCGTATTTTGGTCAAAGGATGTATGAGGTTTTGGCTGCAGCCGTCATTGCGGTTCTGTTTGTACGCCGTCGTTCTCCGCTTATCGCAATTCTTCAGATTAGATGCAGGCAAAGAAAAGTGATCCCGATTGATGAATCTTCCTGGCTATTCAATCATAAACCGGTCCTTTTACAAATCGGTCACTTTCACAAGCAAGACCATGGATCTGCAGTGAAATTACACGATTCCAATTTCAGTGATTCGGTTCATCTTATGACGCCCGGTCACTGAAATTAGGATAAGTGGCAATTAAGCTTCGACCTCCAAATACCTCCGTGTACTCGGTAGTGGGTGTCTTGGGTTTTTGCTGTTCAGTCTTCGACCGAACCTCGTGAAATGCTACTATACTATCGAGCGTTTCCAATATCCTCTGCTGAGAAAGTTCTACGTACCTCCTTCACTCACTCAAGGTGTTAGCGACCAAAGTGAGTGGATGAGAAGCCAACATTCGGGGGATATAGCCGATAAACCATTGGTTTTCAATTTAGGGGAGTTGAATAAATATGCTTGTTCCAAACTAGCCAAGAAGAGATATACGAACTATACTCACACCTTCCTAGTTCTGGCAGTGATCACCAGTTTGATTGGACATAAAGTTGCATTGTTTACCCTGGACGGTTGATCCCGTATAAAGTGTTTGTTTTTTGATTACCTGGAGAACGGTTTCCAACGGTTTTCATACACTACCCTGCCGTCTTAGGGATTGTGCAACGTGGTAGTATTCCGCCAACATACTAAATTATGGAAATTTTACTTTGCTTTAAAGGTGATTGTTATGTGATGTTTTTTGTCACAGTCTAAACTCAGACGTTTATGAAAACCATTGTGTTGATTTGGTTGTGATCCGTGTGCAAAACGGATCAGAAATTTTGGTCTTACTCTCGTCCACAGAATAAGCTTATCTCGACATCAAGGAGTGTATCCTTGATAATAGCTTCATTTTAACAAAAACTTCGTTGACTGGACCAAGCTATTCAACTAAACCCATCTTCACAAAATTTAACAATCAACTGACCTTATTCATCTGAGCGCATTGCTCAAGGTTTAAGACTCGATCGAACAGACTCAGAATGTAACTAATTAATTGAGGGAAGTAGCGGAGGATTATAATTGGTTATTCATCTGGTACAAATTAGATGATGCGGAAACCTGATCGCGGTTCCTCGGTTGATCATCATCAGTTGCGCATACATGCACTAAGGATGACTCGGAGAGAGGATGAAATAGTTATGACTTTCAGTGTAAAAATTGCATGCTAAGAGTAAGTTTTGGTCAACCGGTATTCTGCTAGGGGCGTATACACAATGTAGTATGATCCACGTCAGTTTGTGTATTGCAATAATGAAAAGGCAGCAAATAGCCTCGCGTATTTTCCAATCATTGTCTCATAACTTTACACACAACCAAGTTCTCATAGTAAACTAAACTGCGTTATTCGATAGAATAAACAGACAATAAATGGGGGAAAGAAGTCAGCGGAAGTATCTTAAATATCCCCCAGATGCATAAGAATAAAGTAGAAATGCGAAGAAATTTCTTTTCGATATATCGCTTCACGCACTTACATGTATAGTTTCATCAATCAATAGAATAATACAAGTCAAAATCAAAGTCACAAGTTTTATTATGGCAAATACTTACAAGCAGTTGTTTTTCTAGTCCCATAGGTTTTAGCCCAGATGAATCGATTCACGGTTCATAGAAAGTAGACTAATGTCACAATTTATCTTTGTTTTGTGCACTGCTACGGACGTTGGAATTTAAGACTTGTCAAAGCTTCATCCAGTTTTTGCTTGAATGAATTAATTGTGGGCACAGAAACAACGTGTCCTGGTAGAGAATTCCAAGAAGTGCACACTCTGGGGGAGAATGAATGACACTGGCATTCTAGTCGGTACTCTTGACGCAATAGTTTGAATGAGTGCCTCCTCAGGTGAGTGTTGGGCGACAATGCAAAGAGTGAACGACATTGGTGATCTGAGTCTCGCATTATTTGATACACCAAGATCAAGTCCCTCGAATGCAACAATACTGTGTGGAGTAGAGTTGCAGTGATTTCAATCTTTCGGCGTAACTCTTCGAATGCAGTCCCTTGACCATTTTGGTAGCCATTCTTTCTGGTCGTTCCAGAATATTCCGATCGCGTGGCAGCCATGGATTCTACGCCTGAACTGCATACTCCATGTGGGGCCGAATGTGGGTTGATAACAACCGTGGAAACAGCGTAGGTTCGAATTTGCCAAATACTCGCTTTGACAAACAAACATGTCTTACAGCGGTAGACGACCCCCGGGAGCAGTGTAAAGAACAACTTAGGTCATCTTGGACATTGACACCCAGGTCCTTCTTATCCGAAACATACGGCAGTTGGAAATACGGAAACCGAGTTTTATGTCGAATGGATGCGACCGTACATTTTGATGCGTTAAATTCCACGTTGTTTTCGATCGACCATTGATTGGTAGCATTAAGTATTCTCTGAAGTTCCGGCGAGTCCTCTGGTTTTGTCCCCGTTTTCCATATTTTTGCATCGTCTGTAAACATTAACGTCTGTGGCCCCAGACTGTCAGTTAGTTCGTTTAAAAAAACAAGGAATTGTTGAGGGCTAAGCACAGATCCCTATGGAACTCCTCGTGATAGGCTGATGAGATCAGAAAGGAACCCAGGAAAGCTAACTGCCAGGGTGCGTTGTCGAAGAAATTCTTCCGTCCAACCCAGTACAAGTCCTCGAATTCTATAGTTGTGTAGTTTCCTCAGTATTATTTTGTGGTCGAATGCTTTGGAGAAATCGAGCTGCACGACGTTCACTGCATCACCGTGATCAGCTATTTTCGTCCACACTTCTCGGGCCAGAAGTAAGTTAGTGGTGCACGATCGCCTGCGACGAAACCCATGTCGAGCAGGGGATAACACGCTGTATTTTTCCAAGTGACTCATCACACTGTCTGCAATAATGGATTTCATGACTTTGGACAATACGGGGAGGCGAGTAACGAGGCGGTAGTTAGCTGGGTCACAATGATAACCACCCTTGTATATCGGAGAAATTATTCCTTGTTTCCATGTTTGTGGGAGCACAGTTTTGTTCAATATTTGTTGGAATAGTTCGCTTAGTGGTTGAGCTAATTTACTCCTTAGGTTGATGAGGGTTTATGGATGAACATTATCTAAACCTGGAGAGGAATTCCTTTTCAAATAATGGAGTTTCGATACTATGATTTCTGGGGGGAAATCAATTGTGGTGTGCTTTGGTTACGATATATCCTCAAGTAACAGAGGCACTCGTAGTCCGGTGTTCTCGGGTGCGGTGATCACTTGAGCGTACTGACTTTTTAGCATTTCAGCTGCCTCCTTTGACGTGACTGAAACACGTTCTGTCACTCTTAGCGCTGGAACGATAGACTTAACTTTGTGTTTGTACAACAGCTGGGGATTTGATATGAACTTGCACATGAGCATTTCTTGGTGTATTAACTTGCCTTCTCGCACCAACTTGGTGCAGAGGCATCGAAGTTGACAGTAGGTATACCATGTGTTGTTGCAAGGAGATTAATTATAAGCTCTCCATCAGATATTCCTCTGCGAAATCCACTTTTTGTCCTACTTCGAATCGCAGATCATTGACGAATTGAGTTGGTGATGCGTTTGGTCTTCGTCGCGTCCTTCACCATTTCTGTCGTGTGACGTTAAAATTCTTCCCATGATGCCAGGGGATCACATTACTCGTTGGGAAATTTCCTTTGGAAACCTCTCGCAAAAATTTTAAATTTGGTGTAGTCAACAAACATACATAAGCTAACCGTAGAATTATGCGGTACGGATGCATAGCAAGTATAGTCAAACGTCAACATAGCATGATCACTACGCCCTAATGGAGTTGCAGTGAAAATCGTTTCCACCATCAGTTCCTCGTTAGCTAACACCAAGTCCAAAATCGACGGTGACTGGTTGGCTGCTTCAAAAAATTATAAAGTGGATAGGATTCCATAAGCTGTGCGAGTCGCCTTAGAGTGGTCTAAGCTAATGTTGAATGAATGTGTATGTACAGTGTTTAACTGATAACAAACTGTGGGGTTGCGACAAACGGATAGGGAAAAGCAAGTTAAAGGTGCTAGGTGAAAATGAATGAAACAGGTGCGTGAGTGTGAGATAAAGGCAAGTAACTTAATCCGGTTAAAATATTACTGCTATTATGGTCATTCAAATTCAAATTTTTCAAATTTTTATTATGGGAAAAATCTTACGAAGACTTCGCTTATCAAATCCCATAGGGTTTTTACACTTTGGTTACACTTTGTTCATAGAAGTGATTGTCCTATATTCCTATGTGACACCTTTTCCATTCTTTCCCCTTTGCTCATTTACTGTTTTTTTTCTAACACTTTCACATCTGTTTCATTCACTTTCGACTAACACCTTTCATGTCCTTTCTCCTTCACACCATCCATTAATCGCTACCCCACAGTTTATTGTCAACTGAACACTCTGCCACACACATTCATTCAACATCGGCTTACGCCTTGTATTAATCTATTGCTTGATGGAACTGTGTACGTAAATGCGTGAAGCGATATATCGAGATTCCTTCGCGTTTCCACTTTGTTCACTGGAAGTAGTTACTTTATCCACTCCCAGTGGATGCACTATCAGCATTGTGCTCAATGAGAGTTTAGCGTCAATTACTGCTTTAAATGAGATTGCAAATTATAAAACAAAGCAATATATAGAGAATGAAGAAGTAGAAAGTTCCAGTCAACGGACCACTCGAGACTGGTCAATTCAGAAGAAGTTCCCTGATGCTGGGCACAGGTTGGTTTTATGCGACTATCTTACCTTTCCTGGTTCGTCAAGATTGGAATGTTTTCAAAAAATTTTGTTTAACTAAAAGCAGTAAATTGCAGGTTTTAACATGACTACATATTTATAATAAAAAATTTGGAGAATATTTCTATAATCGAGCACTAATTTAAGGTTGAATACTTCTTTTCGAAAGAAGACACATCCATTTTTTCTGCCTTCGTTTTGAATGCATCAGTATACTAATGAATACAAGTGCTGACAGGTATACTTTTGCCTTCGAGTGGGAGCAGAATTGCTGACCCTAAAAGTATTTCAACATGAGATTGCTTGCTTGAGTGGCGAACGGATACCGACTATGAGCGAGGTTGGTTGGCATTATGAAATCTTACGTACCATCGGTCTATATTAGGTGTGCCCTATGGGGCGCACCT